AGTTCAAAAAATAGCAAAAAAAATAAAGGGCATCAAGGTGTCCAACTTAAACTATAGCAGCGACTTGTTGCTCAGTTCAAAATAACATCTCTTGTGAAATCTGTGATTAGCCTTGATGGCTCAATGGGTGAATGCACCACTTGGGTCGCTAACCGGATAGGCTTCAGGTTTTTGCTAAACTGGAACCACGAGGGTTCCAGATGGCAGGGGAAAATTGTCAAAAAGGTCACGGTCAATGGTGGAGCCAAAAAGCAAGCTAGAGATGGTGAAGTGGAAGGAATGGTATCACAACAAATTATAGAGTAGTGGGGCAAGGCCATGGAGATGGGAACAAAGTTGATCCCCTGGAAATAGAGCTGACGAGAATGCAGGTAATAAGTTTTGTACAGAAATGTATCTCATCTGCAAAACAGTTGGGGCTTATCAGACCTGAAGTGTTGGTACCCAGATAGAAAAGTAGAGGATTCCAATACCCAGGTAGCCATAACACCAGGTAAAGTTTGGCATTCAAGAAAGGAGGAAGCAACAGGGAGTCAAAATATTTGATTGGCACAAAGAACCTGGAATACAAATATATATAGGACACGACATTGTGAAACCAATATCTTCTACAAAAGACATGATTTTTCTTTAATAAACAAATCTAGCAACAAGTTGTTAGGATGCAGAAAACAATTTGAAGATATTCCTGCTGCTACACAATTCAATTGGAAAAGGGAAATTTAGTGACATGTAGCATAAGTTTGGTGAGCTTTACACCTCAGCTCCGAGCCCTGAAACCATTCAGTTCCATGTAATGAAAATGGCAGATGTCACAAAAATCCTATGGAACAATTAATTACAGCTTCCATCATAGCAGTTTTTACATCTTATTATATTGCTACAAAAGGAGCTAGCTGAAGACAGTAAAAAAGAAATTGTATATCCATTTTGTATTTGTTTTTTCTTAGCCAAAAGAATGGTGGTGAGGGTATAAAGAGACGAACAAAATAATTTTTTAAAAATCACTGAATGGATGAGCCATAATTGACTTTGCAACCTGGCAGCCTATGATATTCCTGTTGGCAGCAATACATTGATTTGAATGTGCAACAGGCAAGATCTGTATGAATTCCTATGCCAATGACAGTACTTAACATTTGTCACATTGCCTTGTATGTGGCAGCAAAAGCTCTTAACAATGTTGATGATAGATACACATGTACAGCACTTTTAAAGGCAAAGAGGTCCAGAAGTTAGCTTTAGCATTGTGGAAATTCCATATTGATTTTAAGAAAACTCTTTGCTCTCTACTTTTTGCTTACAATTTGCAGTTAACAATCAAATGTGTAATAGCACAGAACATGGCAGCATCTTTATATAGCCTAGGCTGTCCAAACGGTGGTCCAATTTCATCTACTTCCCCCTCCACCCGCACCTGTTTCATCTGGCCCACCCGATCCCTCCATAACTCATAAATGTTGTTATGTTTCTAGAAGCAGAACAAAAATATTGCATATGCGGTACACAGGTTTCTCAAATAGGGCATCCGGCCCTCAGGAGCCAAACGGTTGGACCACCCCTAGCTTACGCCAAAGGAACGGGCTATTTTAGGTCAAATATAAGACATTTTCACAAATGCCTATTTCACAATACATTGGATGCAGCAAAATAAGAGAAGATGTATGTCTTGGTTTCATTCTCTGAATGTGAATTGAAGCAAGCAGAATCAAAACATCATTACACCGCGTCCAAGGCAAAAGCAACGATGCAGTTCAGGATATCTAACCCAATGCACCATTCACTTACCTTAAATGCCCGTGCTTGCCACCCAAATTCAATCAGATTTTAACAGGATCAATTTGGAAGCATCTGCAGCTGAGAGTTCATCTTCACCCTGTTAATTTAGATAAAATGCCACAGCGTGAGCAACTTGCTTCAGTCTGTCCCAGTTCAGCAATTGAAACCTCTAGTAAAAAAATACCCACAATGTATTTCTTCCCTAATCAAACTTTGGCGAGTCCATAAACCCATGTCTGTGATTAATAATGAGTTACTACCAGAATTAGTTTGTGGCAGTAGCTCAATGGATTTCTTAAATATATTGAGGATACTTAGTCCACCATCAACAACAACTTACATTTGTATTGCCCCCCTCCCTGCAGTATAGCGTCCCAGAACGCTTCATGCACATCAGTGCAAATATATTGCGCATAAAATGCAAATATACTAAAACCATATATTGCCTAGAGTATCAAGGTTTGGAATGTGATAAATGCTTTGGTGTCCCAAAAAATGCACTTCACAGCCATTTGTGCATCTACTACACTCAAGCAGTTAGTCAGAAAGAAAAAATCTGTTTTTAATCAAAATTAAAATCTGAACATGAAGCCCTCTTATTTTTCTGTCAAACCTTAAAATATTCTTAGTCAAAAAGGGCCAAGCATAGCATATTAGGCTTTACAGAATTCAAACTAATTTAAACAATGCCCTTTTACTACAGCTTTGTGTATTTATACCAAGCAGTTAACTTTTACACATATCCCAGTAACACAACATACTGAAAATAACTCACTTTATCCTCTTTGCACATGAAGCCCCACTGCAAGTATTTAGGCTACAGGAGGCAACAATGGCAGATAGTGTAGTACTTCCATATCTGCAGTTGCTTTTTCTGCATACCATTGTCATTTTTCTATCAGTGTCCTTGATCATTTTCCTGCAAACATCCGCAAATGAAAACACACCAAGAAAAATTATGGGAAAACAAACACAAAATATCCATGCAAATTCAATCGATAGAAAAATACAATCTCAGTGTATCCAAAAGACTTCAGTTCCGCTTCTGGGCAACACTCAAGCAGCATCAAAGTTAGAAGCACGAGAGAGACATCCTCAACTCCAGAAAGAGAGAAGCCCCCAAATCATTGAAAATGGATGCCCCCTCCCAACACGTTTAGTAAAAATCTCCTGTGGTTTTCGAAATCTAGATTGTTGCAAATCTGAACAGACCAAGGTTGTGAACATCAGATGAAGACTGAGGTTCTTTTTTTCCTTTGCTTGCTCAATAGGTATAATAATAATCCTTGCATTTGATATAGCGCTTTTTACGTCTTCTAGACGTCTCAAAGCGCTTCACAGAATATGCTGTAAAGTGAATCGACTGTATATTTGTGGGCGAAACTCGGCAGCCAATTGCGCACAGCAGTGTCCCACAAACAGCCGTGGATTGAAAATGACCAATTTTATTATTTTTTTGGTATATACCATATAAACCGGGAACACTGGATAACATTATGTCAAGTTATGAGGCGTGAACAATTGGCCTCAGAGTCCCCGACCGAGCGAGGGATGAGGAAAAAAGGTCCAAACTTCCTGCTGAAAAATGTGCCTGTGGATATTGGATGAGGAAAGGATGTGTCTTAATGGTAATTATAGTTGTCACAAGGCTGATTAAGCCTATTCAACTTGACATACCATAATTAACATCAGTTATGGTCCAACACAAATATCGGTTTCTTGACTGCTAAAGGTTGAAAGAATCAGTTTTTAATGTGTTTCACACTATTCTGAGTGAAAACATTTTACAGGCTATAACAGTTAAGACAGCAGTTCCACTCATACCACTGTGGCCCATCTCCACCCACATGAACATTACACCGCCAGTCGCACAAAATACACTTGGAAGAAATAAACGGTAATTAGCATCTTAGGAGCAAAACAGCAAGAAAAACAGTACAAATGGAAATCTGCATTTCACATGCCAGGTGGGACCTACCACTCCAATACGACTGCGAGGAAATAACTTGGGACGAACTCAATGAAACCGGTTAGACACTGCATGGACTTTTAAAGAAAAGAGACGAGAACATTACAAGCTCATTAGGGGGTGCAAGGGTACGGGCAAGACTTACCGCCGGGACGTATTTTTTTCTCTCTTTTTAAAACAAAAAAAAACAGAAAAGGAGAGGCGCATCCACAGCCCATTCATAAGAGACTACAGACGAAGACAAATTCAATGTAGTTTATTGAGAAAAAAAAGTTAAAACAGTATACAACAATTTCCTTGGAATACATTTGCCACACATCAATTTGTGCACATATCAAATACATCTTCCCCCCCACCCCCCCCACCCCCTCCCCAACCTCCCCACCCCCTCCCCACAGAAAATAAAAACCTAAAACGCATATCCTCCAAAGTCTCTGCTTCTGCTCCTATTGCTCAGACCGTAATCTGCCCTGTAGGGTCCGGCTGCGTATTTCTCTGTGTTGCTCCTTCCCCTCATGGGGCCATAGCTGGACGCCTGTGGTGAGTAGCTGCCAAAGTTACCAATGCTCTCAGAGAAACTGCCGCCGTCGTAGCCGTCTTCGCCATAGCTCCCGAAGCTATAGTCCCCGACCCGGTCGCCGTAGCCCCCCCTCTCCCCGTAGCCCCGCTCGGCGTAACCCGCTCTATCCCCGTAGCCCCGCTCGGCGTAACTCGGTCTGTCGCCGTAGCCCCGCTCGCCATAGCTACCTCGGTCCCCGTAGGCTCGGTCGCCGTAGGCTCTGTCGCCGTAGCTGCCCCCGGAGAAGGAGCGGTCCCGCCTCGGGTTCCCGCCGCTGCCGTAGCCGTAGACGTCCCCGCGGTTGCCGCCGTTGTAGTAACCGCCGTCGCCGCCATGTCGCGGGGAGTCGTCCATCCTCCCGCCATAGTTGCGGCCGTTCCTCTGGCTGAAGCTGCCGGCTCGGGCACGGGATCTGCCGCCGCCCCCCCCGCCGCCGCCGCCGCCGCCGCCCTGCATCTCCTCCTTGGACAGACCTTTCTTCACCTCACACCGGTAGCCTTTAATCATGTGGAATTTCCGTATCACCGCCTTGTCCACCGAGTCGTGATCCTCAAAGTACACAAAGGCGAAGCCGCGTTTCTTGCCGGTGTCGCGGTCGCAGATCACATCCACTTTCTCAATCGTCCCGTAGTCCGAGAAGTAGATCTGCAAATCGTTCTCGTCGATCTTGTTCTTCACACCGCCGACAAAGATCTTCTTCACCTTGAGGTTGAAGCCCGGTTTGTTGGAGTCTTCCCGGGGCACCGCTCGCTTCAGGTCCACGGTGCGGCCGTCCAGCACGTGAGGCCTAGCGGCCATGGCGGCGTCGGCCTCGCTGGGCGACGAGTAGGTGACGAAGCCGAAGCCGCGGGGCCGCTTGGTCAGGGTGTCCTGAACCACCACACAGTCGGTGAGCGACCCCCATTGCTCAAAATGGCTTCTCAGGCTGCCCTCGGCCGTCTCGAAGCTCAGGCCGCCGACGAATAGCTTACAGAGCTGCTCCCTCGCCATGTTGCCGCCGCTCTCACTCCGCACTGCAGGAGACTGACTGGCTGCTAATGAGGGGGGGCCACACGCCGCGCTCCCATTGGCCCGGCCCCGGCTGCCAGGCAACAGGCCCCGCCCCCTCCGCCCCGCTCCCGCCTCCTGCACTCGGCCTCGCGCATGCGCTCTCGCTCCTTTTGTCCGGTTTTGTGCGGCGGCGGCGGATCGATGCTCAGCGCTCGCGCGCGCTCCCTCTCCGCCCCGCCCCCCTCCCCGTCATCACTACGCCTCGCCCCGCCCCCTCCCCACGCCCCTCCCCCTTCCCCCCCCACACACACCATCCGGATGTGAATGACCAACTTTTACATTTAATAATAATGACAATAATACTAATTATAATAATAATGATGATGATAATGACAATAATAATGATAATAGTAATCATAATAATGATAATAATAATGATATTAATGATAATAATAATGATGATAATAATTATAATGATAATAATAATAATGATGATAATAATGATAATAATGATAATAATAATGATAATAATGATAATAATGATAATGATGATAATGATAATAATGATAATAATAATAATGATGATGATGATGATGATAATGATAATAATTATAATAATGATAATAATAATAATGATGATGATGATTATGATGGTAATAATAAAGATAATAATGATGATAATAATGATGATAATGATAATAATAATAATGATGATAATAATGATAGTGATCATAATAATGATAATAATAATGATGATAATAATGATGATGATAATGATAATAATAATAATGATAATAATGATAGTGATCATAATAATGATAATAATAATGATGATAATAATGATGATGATGATGATAATGATGATAATAATACTGATAATGATAATAATAATAATTCTTGCATTTGATACAGCAGTTTCCCCAACACACAGTCTGGGGTACAAGCATCAGCGCTTGCCAACCTATGTTTAATAATCTCTGGAATTAGGGTAATAATAATTGTTGCATTTGTTACAGCGCCTTATCAGGTCTTCGAGACGTCTCAAAGTGCTTCACGGGATACACCATAAAGTATAGTGACTGTATATTTTTTGGGACAAACGTTGCAGCCCATTGCTCACGGCAGCGTCCCCACCAACAATCGTGGTTTGAGTGAGCAAAACACATTCTACCTTCAAAACCCCAAATACTGCAGGTGCCAGAAATCTGAAACAAAAACAGAAGTCGCTGGGAACACTCAGCCGGTCAGGCAGCTTCTGTGGAGAAAATCTATGCTCCATCTATGGAGCATTCTCCTAAGATGCTGCCTGACCTGCTGAGTCTTCCCAGAGACTTCTGTTTTTTGTTACACATTCTACCTTCTTTAGCAATCTCATCACCATTTACCGGTAATGAGAAGGAAAAGCTTACCTGTTACCGAAGCATTAATGTGGCTGTCGGAAGCCGACAAGCTGGAAGGACAGTGTTTAAGCCAAGTATGGATAGAGTTTAATGTACAGAAAATTAAGCCTATGTTTTATCTGACAGCTATTTTATTGATTCCTTTCCCCTGATCTCACATGTTTTGTCTAGGAGTCATTTAAATGTTTGCAATTAGATAGCATACTTCACAGATATGAGAAGACAAACCCTTGTGTGGCTTTAAGCTACTGGAGTTCAAGAGCTTATAGATATTATCTTAAGTCCACAAACTGGATTGAACCTTTTACAGTTATTGTTCACGTCATATGCAGTAAAGATCTCACAGGCTAGAAAGCAAGGAATTGTGTGTGCATTTATCATAATAATCCTTGCATCTGATATGGTGCCTATTTCGCATTGTTAAAATAAATTTACTGTGAAGTGCAGTGACTTTGTTGTCAAACAAAAGACATTTTGTCCATCTGTGACCAGGGCTCCCTCTGTCTCCTCGTCCTCCAGGTAGAACTTTAAGATTTGAATGACACACAATGCATTTAAAAAAAGTTGAGCCTTTTCCTTTTGTGTCGAACATATTTTAGCAGCATTTAATTGAATTAAAAATAACTCAAACTTGCATGGAATAGGTACTATTATTAGTAATGAGACTCTGGTCCTTGGTTCAATCAATTACTTGCCAGGGTGCACTCCCTGGGGTGCTCTTATCACCCCAAATGGCCCCAAATTATTATTATCTATTGGCAAGGATTATTATTATCTGAATTTCAAACATTCACCTACCATTGCCAAGATTGCCTTCTTCTAACTCAAACTTTATTACTATTTGTGCTTGTACCTTACCACCACTGTTGTAGAAACCCTGATCCATGCCGTTTGTAATCGATGTAATCAAAATTAAGAGCCGGGTGTTTCTCCAGAGCACTGGCCAACAATCCCCAATAAATTTGGTCACTTACCTCACAGCTATTTGTGGGACAATGCTGTGGGCAAATTGGCTGCTGCCTCCGCATATAAATACACAGCTCCTGCACTTCATAGCAAAATCCTGTGATGCGCTTTTAGGCGTCTTGACAATGTGATAAGGCATTAACCAAATGCAAGGATTATTATACACAATTATAAATAATAATGTCCCTTATATAAAGCCCACAATTCCAGGTGATTTGATTACTTGTACTCTGTCTTGTACTCTTGCAATTGTACTAGATTGCATTTTACAACATCGGATTGGATCTCTGCCACGTATAAACCCACTCTAATAAGTGATCTGTGTCCTCTTGCCCTTTTCTACATTCTTTTACCCTGTAAGTTGATATCAGGAAGCCTAGAAATTGTCAGTTGCTAAATTAACAATATAGATATGATAACAATAGAGGTTCCACCATAGGTGGTTGGGCCATTAAAGGAAGTGGCTGGAGGAAGGCAGCAAATTGGATGTTTTTTTGGCCAGCCAGGTGTCTGACGCTTGTGGAAACCCATCACCGTTGCTTGAGAGTCTCCAAACCAAACTGAGAATTCCATTCATCCCACCGACACATGGAAATCCCAGAGATAGATTGTTGGAATGAGCTCTCTCTCTCTCTCTCTCCCTGGAGGGACGCCTTCTGCTTACCTAATTGAGGAAAGTCTTAGGCCCAGATTGGTAAGAGCCAAGGCTTGGGGACCCCAGAGTGTGCGTTGGGATAATTGCTGGAGTCTAACCAGTTAAAACCGTACGGTTTACCATTTATCCCTACCCGTCAGGGCTTTGGTTTGCATGGTTAACAGAAGCTGTGTGGGAGGATTCCCTGCCCCCAGTGACTGATCCTGAAAATGAGCCAAGCTGCCATCACTGTCATCAGGAGGACCATGAAATTGGATGTTGAGTGGAGGAAATGCAAGATCTAGAACTGGGAATTTGCTGCAAACCCATTTCTGGCAGCTCAGATTTGACCTAATCCAAGGTTTTAACGTGTCATTGAATGCTATATGACCATTAAATGGTGAAGATCACAACTGTCATTGCATTTCCAGGCTCAGCACAGTGAAACAGTTCAATTCCAGATCATAGGAGAGGGGCTTGAGAGTGACATAGTAATAATAATAATAATAATCCTTGCATTTGATATAGCGCCTTATCACGTCTTTGAGACGTCTCAAAGCGCTTCACAGAATATACTGTAAAGTGAATTGACTGTAGCAAAGTGCGAAGGAGTGAAGGGATTTTGTATGTGGAGATGAGGATATTGTGTGGGTTGTTTTTCTGGGGTTTAAATGGAGATGAAGGTTCCAGCCTGGGGTTCCGGCAGTGACCAGTGACACAGGAAGTCCAGAGATTGGTCAGTGAAAAGTTCCAAAGACCTCGTTCTTCCTTTTGTAATTCACTCGTCATTGTCACACATCTATATTTTAAAAGAAAACGTATTTATGATTTTAATTGGAGTTTGTGCCTTGTGGGGCTGGGTGTGGTTTCCTGGGGTTTACACGCGACAGTTTTTAATGTAATTCTAACGTGTGTTTCCAATGTGGGACTGGGCAGCGAGTCCATGAGACATCTCCAAGAGAGATGATCCCACTTATTTAATCAGAGGACTGTACGTAAAAGGTGGGATTGGCAGATCTGCCAAGATCTAATAAACTGGTGGAACAGGCTGGCTGGGCTGAATGGCCTCCCCCTGTTCCTGTTTTCCCGCGTTCCTGCATGGAATAATGATAATAATAATCCTTGCATTTGATACAGCGCCTTATCACGTCTTCGAGGCATCTCAAAGTGCATCACAGATTACACTGTAAAGTGAATTGACTGTATATTTTGTGGGCGAAACGCGGCAGCCAATTGTGAATGGCAGTGACTCCACAAACAGTCGTGAATTGAGTCACCAATTTTTTTTGCAGGAATCATGAACCATTTGTGGTTATTGCACAACATTCAAATCCAAGGATCACACGCACAAATCATTCTGTTCATATTCAAAGTATTAGGCCTTCATCAAGTACAAAACTTCATTTGTATATTGTAAAATTCAGAATATTGTAGCAAGAATTACAGTCTTTTAAGCTTGATGGCTTTCGCCCCAAATACAGTTTCCATGAAATACCATTGCAAATTTTTCCGAAATATTGCAACGCCAAACCCACACATTTTTCATTGTGCTGATTGAGTTAAATTTATTTTGTAATATTGTTTAAAGACTATTACAGTATTGCATTTCCAAACTCCTCTGAGGATAATTGACTGTGGCTGGGTTGAGAAGCATGAGATATCAACTCAGATTCCTTAACTCAGTGCTTTTCTAGGATGGAGATGGAATGGGATGTATGTCAATAATAATAATAATTATTTAGAAGATGTGAAAAGCGCTATATCAAATGCAAGGATTATTATTATTTATTATTATAATCCTTGCATTTGATAGCACCTTATCACATCTTCGAGACGTCTCAAAGCGCTTCACAGAATATACTGTAAAGTGAATTGACTGTATATTTTATGGGCGAAACACGGCAGCCAATTGCACACAACAGCGTCCCCACAAAGAGTGGTGAATTGAATGAGCAAATTATTATTTTAAAAACTTTTTGTTAAGGGTTTATTAACTCCCGGAAAAGCGATCCACCAATCAATTAATAACCAAGTTCCTACTTACTGCTTGGTAA